TGAAGCAAGGATGTTTGATATCACCATTTTTGTTTCTTCTTGCCATCGACTGGATCATGAAGTCCATAAAAAGGGAAAAGAGAAACGGAATACAATGGGCACTCTGGAAACAACTGGATGATTTGGATTTTGCGGATGATTTAGCACTCCTGTCGCACAATCACCAACAGATGCAAGAAAAGTCCCCAGAACTGCTTAACACATCAGTTTTAATAGGACTCAACATTCACAGAGGAAAGACCAAGGTCCTAAAAGCTAATACCACCAAAAATGAGCCAATAAATCTAAATGGAGAGCCGCTAGAAGAGATAGAATCATTCACATACCTTGTCAGTATAGTGGATAAGCAAGGAGGTTCAGATGCTGATGTCAAGACCAGAATCGGCAAAGCAAAAAGAGCATTTATCCAGCTAAGAAGCATCTGGAATTCAGGAGTCATAAGCAAGAACACCAAGCTTCGACTTTTTAACTCTAATGTTAAATCAGTCCTCCTGTATGGTGCAGAAACCTGCAGATTTACCAAAGCCACCAACCATAAGATCCAGACATTTGTCAACCAATGTCTTCGTCGAATCCTTTCCATCCGCTGGCCTGAAACCATCAGTAATAAGGAGTTATGGAGAAAGACCAACCAGTGTCCAGTTGAAGAAGAGATTCGGAGAAGAAGGTAGGGTTGGCTAGGACATACCCTACAAAAGCCGAGAAGTAGCATCACAAGGCAGACACAAACATGGACACCCCAAGGAAAGAGAAAACGGGGACGACCAAGAAACACCTGGAAAAGGGAGCTGGAATCAGATGTTAAGCTGACAGGACAGACACGGGGATTAGAATTTTGTTGAATCTGTTCTTACTCTATCTGTTTTATTTCTCTGAGAGAATACTAGTAAATCGAACTTTTGGTTTCTTTTTTTCACCAGCATCCTGGTTATGTTAATGAAAGCTGCCTCCTAATTATCCTATCACAGCAGAGGTGATCATTTGCTATCTCTGTATCTATCGTGTGTCATGAATGGCGTTAAATATTTGTTTTTTAAATTTATCATTTTCCTCTACACTAACTATATAAATGTTGTTATAGCGTTGCAAAATTAATTCCTTGCACGAAGATCATTCACATAGAGAAATCTGAATTCCTAAAGAACCCCCAAAAGCGAGAAAATTGAAATGCTGCAAGCTTGGTTTGATTGAGCCTGTTAATGGACGGTACTGAAAAGTGCAGTTACCGTCCACGCCCATTGCCCCCATCTGAACAATTTGCCGTTTTGGACTTCCTTTAGATATTCTATTTCGTTCTATTACATAGTAACCAAAAGTTGACCTTAAAATATGAAAAACAAGATCAACAAGGAAAGGCGGCGTTCAATGAACGCAACCCCCCCCCCCCCCCATGGACCCAGCAACAAGAACAACGGCAAGGAGCCCAGGCGGACCCCAAACACAAAAAGGACAGGGAAACGAGACGTTAATCATTAAATGATAATTAATTTGTAACTGATTAGGAATTCAAAGAAAATAATAATAGGCCCACAAAGGGGAAGGGGACAGGAGACCGGGGGAAGGGGGGGGTAAATCAAAGAAATAAAAACTAGAGGCAATGGGGAAGATACTTACCGTAGAAACCAATCACTTACATTGCAACCATTGACTTCCAGAGCAACCAATCTCTTTTCAAGCAAACAGTAATTTCCAAAGAACCAATCTCTTTCAACAATAACCATTGACTTCCAAAGCAATTATCAAAGTTGTTTTACAACATTTTCTAAACAAGTAGTGGCATTTTTATTTTTGGAGTTTAGCCTTTGAAACGTGTACCTGTTAAACAATATGGCATGTCATTAATTTTTATAACAGTTGTTCTCTGATTATGTCTCAGTGACTGACTTCCAAGTTTTAACATTTAATGTTAAATGATACAAGCCGGTGCTAGGGGGCGTGAACGGTATTTTTTTATACTTATAAATAAAGTATCGTCTAAAATTGACATATTCTTATTCATGTATGGTTCCTTTTAGTTCAGGGTCTTTTCAACTAAAATATTCAGAAGTTGCGAAGAAAAATATACAACAGAACATTTATTTCGTTTTAGACTACAGCATAGCTCATCGTCTACAAAAATTACATTAAATTTAGTTACATTTAAATGAACATCAGACAAATTTACAGACTAAAAGACAAGGAAAAATAACATAGTAAGCATTTAAGGTATAATGCGGCAATTTTGGAACTTTCAAGTAGCCTTTTGATAATTTCCCAGCGAAAAATTACCAATATTTTAGATTAGATTCTGTTTATTTTGTACCAATAGTTTCAGCATTTTTTATACACAGGACGTCAATGTTGATATGTTGATTCCAAAGCCTTTTAACATGACGTGGCTGCGTATTCTTGGCAACTGTTACGGGTATTACAACTCTACAGTACCGGCTTACAAATATTCTTAAATTAGAATTATTTTTCCTTTAAGCTGATATCGTTTAAAGACGGCAAATATTCGAATAATGGAAAGAAAATTGTCATTATTTGTGAAATATTGTACGTTCAGTTTAACTACATTTTTGGCTTTAAGCAGTTTACTAAAAAATATCCTGAAATAAATTTTTGTCTTTTTCAAAAGCTCTTCAAAAAATGTGTCGAAGTCTTTTTGTAATGACACTATGACATAACATGTTTAATTCATATCTCAAAACCTGATAAAATGTATTATGTAAACAAACGGTGCAACATTATGCATACATATCCTACATTAAAAAGTTTAGCATTGTATGTAACCAAACTTGTTGAATATTGATAGGAATTCATTTGGTTTCTATAGGTTTTTTCTGGACAATTACGTACATGTGCATAAATGTTTATTGTATGGAGTTTCATGTTTCATATTGATAGAAATTGACAAAATTGTTTTCTCCAGAAACATGCGTCTTTGTTAACAATTGTAATTGGGTTTTGTTATTTTTTTATGCATTTATAGGGTTTTTTCGTTTAATTTTTCATTTTCAGAACTTGATACGACGTATCTTACATTAATGGCTATGTAATATGTATTATTATCTACCTTGTTGTACAATGTTGAATATTATATGCTCATGTTTTGTATTTAATAACTTCTGACACAATCAGATGTTGACACAATCAGATGTACATCTTCTTGATATTATAATGTGTATTTGAGCCGATGGCCAAGATTTTACATAACAATAAACTCAAAACTTAAAGTTTACAACCTGACATCAAGCAATCAAGGCATTACAACATTTGAAAATGTGGAGCCTCATCAAATTTAAGCCTATCATGTGGTATAACCATCAAATAACATTAATAATATATATATTAAATTTTGAACATTTGACTAAAATCGCCGAATAGTGACTGGACTTGGAACCTTGTTGATGACACTGCAAAATGATAAGGCTTAATTTCACTTGGCGGGGTTTAATTTTATTTACACTGTATTGTCATATAGGAACATATTGGGGATAAGAGTGAGGATTGGCGCGCCTAAAACCGGTTTAACCTCCCCAGTGGTGTAACTACCACTGACCGTTCTAAGGCGGTACCCATCTGCGTACCTTCAAATGTCTCTAAAGTTATTTGTTTTGTGATGTCTACGTTATTAAATTGTCGTTAACGGTAAGAATTTCTTCAACCCTAGCCCCACCCCTCTCTCCCATTTTGACCCTTCTTTTTTAACCCTGCAAAAAGGATAACAATGATGTAAAAGATATTTTAAAAAAGAATACTTTGAACGGAAAATGTAAATGATAATATCAGAGTTTCATTACGTGCCATGTAGAGCTCTTATGACAATGACATAATACGGAATATGCAGTTAATTACTTCTGGATAACTGTATATTCATAAAGTATATGTTTGTTACATATTTGTATAAGATAAATAATAAGTAAAAATGTAAATTCGATTTTGATTTTGTAGTGTGATTTTCACTCCGTCATATTTATTAAAAGCATAGTACTATGAATACAAAAGAATATTTAGAAATATCTTTATAATCCCTTTTATATTTACGTGCGACTAAGTTGTAGCCATATAAACGACCCTGATATATTTATTCCTATTGAATATAAAATTACTAATGATTTTACCAATATTCGGTCTACAATGAAAATAGATATTTTGACTGATATCTTCTTTGGTATATAACTAAGTAAATGTCAAGTCGTGTGATCATGCTGTTATTTCGGGAAATATTGTGTCAGGTCTTTTTGTCAAATCATTCAGAGACTACCTCAATTTTAAATAAAGTCAAGATGTGTTTAGTAGTGAAGTCACTACCAGATGATGTAAATGTGAATTCAGGCAAAAAAAAAAACTATCAAACAACAATTTTGAAAACAAAATGATATAATTATCATTATTGTTGTTATTATTATTATTGTTATTATTATTATCATTATTGTTATTATTATTTACTTGTTCTTGTTTTATTTTCTTTATGATGTATTAAATATAACATATTGCAGCCAACCATCAAACGATAACAAATGCAAAACTCGGTTTTTGCTTCCTCTCACATTATGTCCTCCTGTCCAAGGGTCTCGCTTGGTCTAAAGGCCGACCTACAAAATGCATGCACACCAAGAGTAGTTTTTACCCTGGTTGATCAAAGATATGTTTTTGTGTATATTAAGTACATTAAGTAAATTAAGTGGATTTTTTGAAATTGCGTATAGACACATATTTTTTCACTTTCTGGGTAAACATTGTATGCACGCCCTACAGAAAGTGAAATCACTACGTTAAAAATGAATTTTAACAGACGATCCTCTCTAAATCACGTTCATTTATAATAAACCAGTGAATTTAACTAAATTAAATGTATCTCTCTATTTTCTATCCAATAAATAACTCTCAAAGTTGAAATATTCTGATTGTCAACTATGACAAATTCATTTAAAGTGTTTTCTTTAGTGAAATCAATGTGTAATACCATACAGATAAAATATGTTTACTGTATTTCATTTTCGTTTGTTTACGGAGTAGTATAGTCGACAAACTTTATCACAAGATAACGTGTGTTTATATCTCAAAACCTGATAAAATGTGTTATGAAAACGAAAGGTGCAACATTTATCCATTCACATGCGGATATTGCTTTATGTCTATACGAAATAAGAGAAAATAGAAAAGAAAATGGCGTGTATACGTCCACACACATATGAAGACATCAATGTCTTGTTGGAATTTACACGATCAGAAGGTTGGGGATTTTCTGAAATCGACTGTAGGGCAACTATGATGGTCGACCCTGAGGGATTGCTTGTTGCTGAAGATGATACCGGAAAACCTGTTGGTATGTAGATATTAAATCAAACAACAAATACGTATATTTTGCATGAAAATTACTTTTTACGACGAACACCGATCTCAATATTTCAATACAGTGTTGTATGTTGAATACTTCTAAGTACTGAAGTATTAGTACTGAAGTATTATTAAACTTTGTGACAAGAAAATTATTCCAGAGTAATTCTATTATTAAATCTTTCAAAATATACTATGACACGGCGTCATATATGTAATATTTGGTACTTTTTCTAGACAATATTCCATAATATTATAATGGCATCTAATTCATTGTATAAACAACTAACACAAAGTGTGTCTTGACTGTTTAATTTACTAATTCCAAGTGCTTGGAGCTGCATACATTTAGGCGGTAATCGTGGGAAGTATAGACTTGCTATAGTGATAACATAAATGAATTATAAGTACATTATTCTACAATATATATACAATACCCGACTGGAAGCTTGCACGTAATAGATGATGTTGTGGTAATGAGGGCATTCGTAGTATAAATTAAGCAGATTCACCTAAATATCACTGTCCTAAATAATAACTTAAATTTTGATATCTATGTGTAGTTTAAAGTTTAGATGAGTTAAATATAATTCAAAAATAATGAAATTTAGTCCTTTTTGGGGAGGCTATGCCTCACCAATGTTAATACTACCCGTCAAATCTTACTGCCGCGGTAATCAGGTAAAAAAATAGTACCTTCATTTTTTCTAAGCTGACTCATCACTCATCACAGACATTTACAATATGAAAATATTTTCATTCTTTTATTTCATATCTGCAATTGTAAAGATAATAATTCTCTGAAAAATTCTGGATTTTTGTTTGTTATTTTTTCAAAATCACTACTCCGTGACGTCATACTGCCGCGGTAATCAGGTTTAGGCATACGTACGTTTGTAATAAATAGTTCTGGTATGAAAACCCTTCTATATAATAACTTTATCAATATTTTTTAAACAAAAAAGCATAAATGAAAATTTATAGGTAAATGCTTTAATTAGGTGGCAAATATTCTTTATTATTTTTGATAACAATTTTCCAATTACTACGCAGCGACCAACTGTTTATGACGGGTCATTAACTAGAACGTTGCAGCACCGTAGTCTCAATATCATGCATGTTCTTTTTTGTTGTTATAAACCATTAATAGTCCTTAATATTTTTTTAAAGACAAATAATGGTAAACTGTCGCTTACATCAGAGACATGGATCAGGCTTGCGTGATAACTAAGGAAAACTAACTTATTAGTACACCTTAGGAGGCCGTACGCGGAAAACGCTCATAAACCGCTATATCATATAACTGTTAGTAAATATTTTGCATACATTTAACTAAAAATTCACTAATGGTGATGAACATACAGTTTGAAAACATTTTATTCTTAAACCATGTATCGCCGGAAAAAAACTATTTAACTACAAAATCCGTAAGGACCCTCCGACAAAATTTCACCACAAGATTACATTTAATATTAGCAAAATAAAAAAGCAATACTTACATTTTCATCTTACATAATTTATTAATCAAACTTTTAACATAAAAGTATTTTTTAAAAATATGTCTGGCAATTGACAGATCCCTACTCTGATCTTTTATTTGTAAAGGAATAAATTTAAACATGTGCTCTTTTGTTTAGGAATATTTTGTAGTGAAAGTCTTAATATATCCACTAATCTCATAATTACAATCAGACAGGTCAGGGATTTATACAACCAGTCGTTTAGTTATCTACGCTCATTTTAATCCCAATAGAAACATTCAAATATTTGGGGTAAAAAACATGACCAAAGTACCTAGTAGTCGTTTACCCGGTGGTGATCCCATTAAACTGATTATAGATTCGAATAGAAAACACAAATAGAAACATGTGTTTCGGTACAACAAAAATCGGAAGTAAAGTGAACAGTTAAATGACAGAAATATGTGGTCAAATATGTTTTAACAAGGAAATAATTATTTCAGAGAAAGACGCAAAGATCAGTCTTCAATCAAATGAATGACCCCGTATTGTGTAATTAGAAAGTTTATTCAATTCTAGGGCAACGAATCATAATTTGATAGTCCATGTGTAATAAAATTTTCAATACAGATTATGAGATACATAAAAATATTAAAGAATAAGAAGCTTTAAAAAAAAACACAAAAAACGCATATATATACGAATGACTTACAGCCGAGCATCGGAAATTCATCAACATATCTTACGAAATTATAATTTGAAAACGATATTTGCGCGCGCTGAAGTGATTAATGATTATTTGAATAAATCAAATAAAAAGAACTTATATGTTTGTGTTCTAAAAAAAATTGGCGGCATAAGACGAATTTCGTTTTCATTTTACAACACTTGAAAAATTACTACAGAAAATATGTTGTTGTTTTTTGTTTGTTTTGTTTTCAACAAGAGTGTGTGTTTTAAGTTCATTTATTCTCGGCGCCGGAATAACCATATGTCCGAGATTATAGCATCGGGGACGTCTTTTTCAAGCAGAATCTTCCTGGTAGCCCATTCTTCGTTCGTTAGTGGTAAAGGAGACGAGAGTAAGTTACGACAGGTCAACCAATCACCTCTGGTACTTGAGATGACTTGACCTTGACCTGCCGTGTGCCTTCTCCGCGACGTGCATACCTCTGGAAGGATTTGGAGAAGTTTCCACAAAAACCTCCAAAACAAGCTATTTATAACACCATTCATAGCACTGACGCTGCGATGTTTCTCATCTATTTGCGGCAAATGGTCGACAAGGAAAACCCTACGTAATAACCGCACACCCTGTTAACAACAGATTTTCCGCAGTATATATTTCAAGCTAGTGAGGTTTAAAATCTATCGATTAACTACCATAAGTTGGTGTTGAGTGTTGGCGGTAAAAAAGAAGATATAACTTCCTGATCAATTTTCACTTAGGTTGATTCAATTTTGAAGAAGAAGAAGAAGAAGAATCTTTATTTTGCAAATTAACTCTCAAAAGAGTCATGTACAAGCATTCATAATATATACAATAACATGTATGCATAAGTAAATAAATAATTACATAGCAAGATGACGTGACTGCAAGTTTTTCTTTTCTTTCATTATTATAATGGTTACCATTGATTATATATTTAATTTACAAGTTATTTACTTTTTTAGAGATTCTACATTCAAATATATAATAATAAGAAATACTTCGTGTATGTATTAGGCTTGCAATCACGGGAGAGACATTGTCAGTATCTATTACATAGTATACTTTCAATTCTCTTCTATACACTGGTCTTTGTATTACATTTACTAATCTAAGCTATATGGTTTTGATTTATTGCAATAGAAATATGGCACAAAATATCGAAATTATACAAACAAAACAAAACAAATGTTACTTCTAAACTATACTTTGAACACATATAATGCTTCAAACTTGATACAAGTAAGACCAGTGTATGATTTGAAACTTACAAATTTATAGCCTTTATAATCATCGTGTTACTTAACCTATTATACATTAGCTTTGAATAAGCTTTGCAGATATGTATTTTTTTCAAGAAATATTTAGCTTTAATATTATCCGAAGCCGTCGAGTAATGAAATGGGAATAATTTTCTGAAACGTGATTTAAGACAACTTTCTGTCCGTAGAGCATGAATATTAATACTATATAAATATGTATAATTTTTATGGCCAGCAAGTGGTCCAATAAAACGAGGTTCTAGAATTTGCGAAGCTTGTTAAACATAATAAATAAAAACAAACAAATGAGTAAGTTGTAATTGGGCTTTTATTAAAGCCGGTATATAAATTATACAGTGCACCTTTAGATTTTGTTATGACTAGAAATAGTACACAATAAAATGTTATTATGTTTTATCTGGGCATAAAAATACGCCATAGGATAAAGATCTGAAAATTCAGAACTTTATACCCGCCCAGACAAGCAAATTCTTTTATGTTCAAATAAAATGTTGCTTAACTTGCAGTTGTTATTATCATTCAATGATATTAAAATGACATAAAGTATTTATGATGAACAGTCCTAGAATGTTTTGATAAGGAACCGTCAGTTGTAAAATGGTATTATGATCTTATAATGAACAGTCGTCATACCTGCTGGTATGTCATTTATGAATGGTTTTTAGGTTTTTCAAAATTTGAATGATTAACAATCCTAATGTAGACCTCAATTATTAACAAAATGAATAGTCAACCATATTAACCATATATATGAATGGTTGAACGATAAATGCCGCAATGTGCATATCTTCTTATTTAACAGCACATTTTAAGCAAAAAGAAAGGAAATTATAAGTCTGAAACATTCTGTCATAGCCTCCCCATCAGTACATTCAGTGTTTTGATTATGATTATAATTTGTCGGATATTTAATTAATTGTCGATAAAACGGACACGGATAAAACGTTTTCGAATAAAAACCCTGTTGTATTTTACATTTCTAATAAAAAAATGAATAAAAGTTATTGATTATACTTAATTTCATTTCCAGGTTTTATTGGTTGTTTCAACATGGTGCCCGACATAATGTACGTGAATTTGTTCATTGTAAGGAAAGATATGAGAGGTAAAGGAATCGGGAGAAAATTATGGAATGCGATGTTAGAAACTGCGGGTAATAAAATTGTTGTACTCGATAGTGTTTCAGAAATGAAGGAATGGTATAAAAAGCAGGGATTAGTCTACGAGGAATTTACTGTAAAAGGCTACAAAGGAAAGATAGCTAATGTTGAATCTGACATTTCTGGAGACTCCTCATACATCTGCGAACCTTTGACAAATGAACACTTGCCGGCGTTACTTGTATATGATCAGAAAATATATCCTTATTCGCGGGAGAAGGTGTTGCGTGCATGGTATTTCGGATCCGATAAATACAGTTTTGTTGCACTGTGTGATAACAAAATAGTCGGGTATGCAAGTTGTCACATGAAATCAAAGAACGAGTGTATCATACGAGCATTATACGCAGATAATGACATTATAGCAGATAAATTAC